AAGTGTGACAAATATAGTAAATATATTCTGAAAATCCGGGAAAAAATTGAGCCAACTTTAACGTAAAATTCACACTTTTTTAGTAATATCTGAAAATGTACATCATATACCCCCACTTTTGATGTTCTTTTCTAAATATTCAAGATAACTTTGACCTATTTGCTTAAAATCAGAAAAAGTTTAAGACTTTTAAATAATTTAATCTTGCTCATTATATTTTCAATGCCGGAAAAATAACATTTTATTAGTGCAAAAAGGTCAAATAATTGATTATGCAAAGCAATTTAAAACTTTTTTAAGTGTCTTTTTTTAAACAGACTTCGAGTTCATTTTGTTTCATGCTTTAATTGGATAAAAATATTGAAGGGAAACGTCGAAGATGTAATTTTTAATTAAGACACAAATTTCAGTGCAGAAAGGTCATATTAAATGTACTGTAGCGCTAAAAGAAGCATATTGACCCCCGTGTTTTGATTTGAATTTCAATTAAGCTATGTATGTAGAATCTAAAAATATACTTGGCAAAAAAAGTTTAAGACTTTAAATATCAGGATCGAACGTCGTTAAGTTATCACGTGTATTTGTTACCTACATTATCATTCATAGTTTTATCGACATTTTGATTTTTTAAAAATCATTCAAATAACTATTGAGCTTTCTAAAGATGTGGAAAGATATCATTTTGTCGACCTATATTAACAAATTTATTAATATCCAGTGGTTTTTCGCCGCATTGTGTTGAAGACGTACATGCACTCATCGTAATAGCAAGTCATTTGACGTTTTTAATCAGATTTTGATAACTGCACTTGTTTTGATTAAAAGTCAATTATTTATTATACCTAACAATTTAATATCAATCTACCATGTTGTTCGTGAAAAAGGACAAAATGCTGACTAATGTCGTTTATATGTTGCTACGATATGGATTAAACAGATATAGACGAGGGAGATAACTTCCATTATATACCAATTCCACGAATATATACTTATTAAGAAACCGCGATCGTGTCAGATGGAAGGAAAACGTGAAAATTACAACCCGTGAAATTAATCCCCTATACAGTATTATTTGATATAAGAGATAATCAATCAAATGTCCCCCATTGGCATATTTTGATGCATCACCCTGCAGTAATGTTCCCTTCAATTTATCATTAACCCTATTGCTATTTTAATTGTAAGCATGCTATATGAGAAAACCAGTTCTTTCGTTTTATTATTATCTTTAGTTATTGAAATGTTTCCGATGGATTTTATTTCTTTTTATTAAACTAGAAATATTGGTTGAATAGCAGAGCATGGTTTCCCTTTAATAAAATGACTTCTCTACAAAAAGAGAAATGGAGCGGAAGTGGAATGACGTCGGCGACGTAAGGGTCAGTAGGATGAGAAGAAGGGGGATCTACAGGAGGTATAGCAGAAAGAGAAAGATCTCAGGATGCAAGAACTTAGTACAAATTCGCCAAGATATTTGCAGAAAAGTTAATGAAATGTGTGAAGACTGGGCTGTTGCAACCACTATTGAAATAACGACCACTATTGAAATGATTATATCAATAGTGGTTGAGAGTGCATTTCAATAGCAAACATAGTAAGTAACCATTATTGAAATACGACCACTATTGAAATAATTATATCAATAGTGGTTGAGAGTACATTTCAATAGAAAATATAGTTAGTAACCACTATTGAAATACGACCACTATTGAAATAAATATATCAATGTTATCATGTTATCATTAAATATTTCATGTTAAAGGTGCATATTCTCCAAAATTATTATCAAAAGTCACAGTTCTAAAAGGGAATTTGTTAATAAATTGTATGATGTTAAATGTATACAATTCTATCATAGGTATTTACAAATTAATTAATCGAACTTTCCTTGATACTATTTGGTTGGAATGTTCAAATTGACTTCTTACAGATGAGTATTTTTCTAGGTACTTTACACGTTTTCACAACTTGTCATGGTTTTGTCGAAATGAAGCACCAAAAATGACAAAACTGCATTAGGAAATCATGTGAAAGGATGGGATAACAAAGTATTGTTTATCTTTATCAACAAATTAAATTGTATATATTGAAAAGATTTTTTTTTTAATTTATGGTCCGAAACTTTGAAATTTTGCGTCGTTAGGTAACTTTCATAATGCTACATTTCAGGAAGTTAACCTGCAAAAATGTCACCTTTTTAACATGGAAAACAGTCGAACAGATGAGAAACACTTCTATCATCTTGCGCCTTAGTATCATATAAATATACATAAAGTACAGAAATTACATATATCACCCAATGCATATAAAAATCCTAACAACTATTATGTGTACATTATGTTTAAAGTAATAGGATATGATCAAAATTAAGTTATAATTCATTTTTGAAATAAATTTTGTCACGTTACACAATTTTGCATTAACACAATGGGACCTTAATTTGTGCGAAAAACCATGTGAGTAATTGTATATATTTTGAAAACGCTTGCTTTTAAACAATAGTAATGAAGAAAAAGTATTTAAAATATATGTATAATATTTTCTAAAAAAAAAATAGATACAAACACGTTTGTTTTACACTAGTTTATGAAACTTTATATGCAGCTTGAAATACGTTACGTTTATGACACTCTCCTCATCATACATGTAGCAGCTCAAGTTTGCAGTGCCCAATATCATTTTCAATTAATATGTATTTGAAGTTCTCAGAAGTAAAGGCACAAAGTACACTGCGATATTCTCTGAAAAGCTTTAACGTACTTGCGTTTAACTTGATCTTGGAGTTCGACTTACCTTTAGCAATTTTTAACCTTGGCCATTACCTTTGAACGTTTATATTAGATTTTCCAGTGATGTTAACTTTAAATTAATATGATAAACGACAGGCAATATTCGACTTCATTGAATTGTCTACCCAGGTCATAGAGCATGCAAAATTATGACTTTATATGACTGTTGATACTTGTTTTTTTTTAATAGTAGTTTTTCAATATCTTCATATATCTCGTTTTTCGGATTGTTTGAGCTTACTCTGGGGTGTCGAATAAACAAGGAATTATAAATCCCATGTGATGGTGATGAGGTTATATTGCTAAATAAATAAAAAGAAGTTGATAATAGAAAAGTTTGTATCAAGTTTACTATAAAAGTTAAATTAAGTAAGATTATCATTGATGTAAGTTTACCAGTAGTCTCTTTTTTACTATACTAATATTCAAATATGAAACCAATGTTTTTGGACTCTGTGCTTCTTTCATTTCAAGTTCACTTGGATAAATCTAGTCGAAATATGAATGGAACTATATATATTTGTTGATTATACATCTAAATGTCGAGACGAAAGCTATAGCAGGTATTTTCTTCTTATGCATGCTTTTTTTTAAAAACAAATAATGCTTCAGATTCCCTGTTTCAGATTAATACAAATGTAGGTGCTTATACCAGGGTACAATCGGTACCAATCATAATTAATTGTCAGATTCTTTTAACAAAATAACTTTGCAGATAGATAATAAAACGGTAATTCATTTTACGAGGTCTGTCTGTGAGATCAAATAGTATGGACCTAAATTTCTTGTGAGGAAGGGTTAATTAAATGTTGAAAAATCGTCTTTATAAATGTGATTGATTTTGAAAAAAAATATATGTTTTCAATTTTTTTTTAAAGTCTTAAATATAAGGATTTTTTACGCTTCACGTTTGATTAACAAATTTCACGAATACATTGTTGTACAATACTCCTGAAAATATGACACAATATTTTTAACAACCAAAGTATTGTCAGGGTGACTTTACAATATTAGTTACTATTGAGTTTCAATGATTACAAAGATTAGATAAATTACGATTGGTCTTAACCCTACCCTCACCTTTCGTGTTAAAATCATGAAAAAATGTAATAAGGGTCTGGAAACAGATTTGTCATATTACTTGTTTGAAATAAAATAAATCCAGAATTCAGTTTCCTTTCTATAATGGACCAACTATCTGGGTAGTCTTGTGTTCATTCCTCGTGATTTACTTATCAAAGGTGATCTTAATTTCCAATTTGATGATCCAAATGAAAAAGATGCTGAACATATATAGAAAATTAAAAGAACATTTTTCCCGATGCAACACACCGTCTTGGTAATACATGTACATAATAAGTGTTAATAACGAGAGAAGACGTGTTGCGTTACAGGGAACATTGTTCTTTACAGATCCTGGCATGTATGTGACAACAATGGCATTATAATTGGGAACCTTGCAATGCGTGATTTACTCCGTCTTTCCAATGTTCCAAAGGAGAGAAAACAGTTACTTTTTTTAACAATTTGTGACATCGACAAAGAAGTATACAAAATTATCTGGAATTTTTAAATGTAACTTACGAAAAAACATCCATTGAAAACTTTGCTTTGCAGTACTATACAATTTTGCAAAAAAATGATTTTCATGCCACTCATGAATAAAAAGAAATTGTTTTACATGTACAGCCAAACACTCCTTGGTTCATGATGATCTTCATCCTGCCGAAAGATATCGCCGTTGAGCGAACAAAGAGCGATAAAAATACTTTCCCACAGAGATTTATTTTCAATGACATATGCATTGTTGCAACCACTATTGAAATAACGACCACTGTTGAAATAATTATCTCAATGGTGGTTAGGAGTGCATTTTAATAACAAACATAGGTTGCAACCACTATTGAAATAATTATCTAATAGTGGGTGAGAGTGCATTTCAATACAAAACACAGGTAGTAACCACTATTGAAATACGACCACTATTGAAAAAATGTTCACTTTTGAAATAAAGATTTCAATATGGATTAAAATATTGATTTTAATAGTGCTTTAAACAATGATTATTTTAGCAGTTGCTGACCAGGATTTCAATACCAAAACCACATTGCAAGCTTTATAGACAAAAGAGGCCACCATTGGTATGCATATGCTTTAATGTGCATAATTTTACTGATTTCTATTTTTTTTCCAGAATAAATGTCCAAGCAACACTAAATATATTAAAATTATATTAACTTTATTTACACAGTTCATGCTTGTAACACTGGAGGAGGGGGTGCATCAGGAACAATGTTGATGTATGGCTTAGCTTGTTCATTTATCCCAGAATTGTCCACGAATTTTACTGGATCCAATGCTGGGTTGATGGGTAAATCTCCAGATAAATTGCCCTTTTGAATATGGATTCGTTTTAAACGAGACTTGATGAAAATCCAAACCTGTCGCAAACTGATTGGTTTATTTTCATAAAGCGATTCCTGTATTTCAGAATTGCCTGAGCCACTTTGTTCTGGACAGCATTCGTATGAAGTGTCGTTTGATGTCTTTCAAAAAATTGAAAGTAAAATATTATATATGATATAACATTGAGTTATTAATGCAATTGCTTTAAAATTAAAAGAAATTTTTAAAAAATCAGCAGCAGCATAATCTGTAAACCAACTTTTATTTGCGTGCAAAAAATGTTCGCTCAGTGTGTAAATAATGGCCTAACAATTTGTATGAAAAATGTCAGTCAGCAGTTGACTTTATGATTAATTGTATCTGATGACAAGTTCGTTGTACCGACCAAAAGAACTTACGAAATGATGACTTTAAGCGAGAGGGCTTAAAGTCAATTTCAATCATTTTTTTTTTTTTTTTTGTCTTTTACCTTTTAAGTTTAAGTACATGCTTTATTCGTACAGGAGGCTCATTCATCGTTCAAACGTGTTCCAACTGTTCACACGTGTATTAACTTTAGCTCATCTACGTTCAATGTATACTTACCCGTGCATGTTTCGCTGATTTAGATTTTGGGGAATGTTTTGTAGCTCTTTTTGATACAACTGTAGGTACCTCCTCATCTTGAAGTCGTGAATTAGAGCACCCCATAGCTGCTTATAAGGCCTAAAAATTAGGTAATGAAAACTTCGCAAAAATTTTTTTGTAGTTATAAATTCAGTAGCATTGCCTCTAAATATAAGTTATACTGTGTACGTAATAACATGTTCTTTCAGGATCAAAATGCGTAAAAAAGCTGTATTTATGCATATTCTTCTTGGTTTCACAAGTATATGTTTCATATAAAGTTTACGTAGAGAGTATATCTTTAATTTAAAAAACTGATATGACAAAATTTTAAACACGTCGAATTAAATATTTTAATCATATTTGGGTATATAAACTCTTATCTTTTAATCAATCAGTTTCACTCTTGAATTTATTGAATGGAGTAATTTATTGAAATGAGCTAAAGCTAGTCCAGATTTAGGTTCTTTAGGTTCTTTCATTGCAGAATACAAGCAATTGTTACATGCATATGTGTAAATGGTTATCAAACATAGATTCTCGAAAAAAAAAAATTGTAGGATTTTCAAAAAGATGTGTTCCTTTAAACACCTTATGCGTTGATCAATATTTGAAATAATTTTCAGTCGATATATTTTAAATGTAGTGAAAAAAATCCAGTGGGCCCCTATGTCGATTTAGGTAGAGAGGTATTATACTTAGTCATGCCAATAGATTAACAAGACACTTGAAAAATATTCAAATAATTTTTTGTCGCCTATACTTTTCTACATTTCCGGTTTTCGTAGATTTTTGAATAAATATATTAAACTGATTTTCTTTTTTTTTCTCATGTAGCGTAGGTGTATTGCAATGTACATGTATAAAGCATGAAAGAAATCAAAATTTTAAACTATAAAATTGACACCGCCCATTAAACACCATACTTTACCTCCAAGTGTTCTTTTATCCTTTGATTTGTTTCGTTGTTGTTTTTCATTTATTTTGCGCGAATTATAATACAGAGTATTGGGAATCCCCGTTTCAGTCCATGAACATTGCCGTTAAAAAGTTATTCTAAAACAGGATTTAAGCAATCAAAAATAGTTATTTTTTCGAACATGCATCATTTTTCAGGTTTTACCTGCTATTTCTTTAATGTTGCTTCAGAAAGCTTTTAGTTTAAAGAACAATGGATTATAATAAAAAAAAAGCTTATTCAATTAAGACAAAGGACATTTTTTTTATTTTTTTTTTTTTTTTTTTTTTTTTTTTTTTTTTTTTTTTTTTTTTTTTGTGCGTGTTAAATAATTGAACTTCAACAGACCTTGAATTACTAATGGGTTTAAATTAATTGCCTTTCTGTGGAAAAAGACAAATCAATCATATAAAAATATCATCTCAGTATTTTATTATGACACGTTCAGTAAGACTTTCAGCCGTGTTTATCTTACATGTAAATTCAAAACAAAGGGCCAAAAAAAAAAAACTAAATACCAAGAAAGTATTCGTTTCATAAATCAGTATCAATCAGTAAGATTGATTTAATTAGTTGATTGATGATAAAATTTAGTCACGCGTTATACATGTAATAAGGCGTTACATTAATCACATAGCTTTTATTTAAAGCTCTTTTTTTTTTATCAAAATACAGTCACAATATTTTGTGTTTTTTATTTTGCATATGTATTCTGGTGAATAGAGAAATAATGTTCAAGTTTTATTTCATGGAAAGATGTTATTATTTTTATTTTTCTGAATAATGTACATGTTATTGAAAATTTCGAGGTGTATTATACACTTTCTGAAGTTTTTTGGTTTACCTGTCTAGATTTCCGTCCCTTAAAAAAAACTTTGACTTTGCCTATACATGTACCTAAACCTGAATTTTGATTGGATGGGACTACAACTTTAGTATCCCACATTTCTATTTCTTGTTTCATGACCTTTATGTCGATTTGACATTCAACTTTGTGGGATTTACCTTCTTGGTTGGTCATCTTTTGCAAAATTTTACCAAGCTTTAAAAAAAGAAAATGTGCTTTGGTCTTCAAAATTATTTTAAGCATCCATAGTGTTCAATATATCCAAGTTAGAGATACCTTAGTTCCAATGTACATGTAATTACATAAATAGCAGCTACCTGGATGCACCGCTTACAAAAATTTACACATTTGCTACAAATGTGTCTATAGAATTGTCAATAACGTTTATTTTTTAAAGCCATTACATGTATATCACCATAAAGTCAAAAAGCTTTAATTGATATACTTAATTTCTTTTTACCACCAGCAGCATGTCGGGAAATGAAGAACAAGTTCATTAAATATACCTGTCTTCTCCTTTTAACTACGTTTATATACATACTTATACCTCTAAAGGAGTTGTGATGTAATTCCAATGATTATTTCATCAAATGTAATGCTGTGTTTCTTAGATAGTATAGGTGCAGGAACATGGACAACAAAAAGAAGTACTAGCCTACATATTTAGTAGCAAAAAGAAGAATTATTTGAAAGCTTACATTGTACATGTTTGATCATTTTTTCCGCCATCAAACATCAGACAAAGGAGATAAAAGAGGAAGAGATGTATAAGACATCTTTTATAATCAAATGAATTTATACTGGTAAAATAACTACCTATGTTCAATATATGTTTTAAGTACCATGTGTTGAACATATGTTAAACATACGTTGATGAACATATGAGTTTTCAACAGTATGTTTAACATATCTTTAAAAACTATGTTGAACATATGTTTAAAGTAATTATGTGTTTTGTGGTAACGATATTTTAATATACATGTATGTATAACATATATTAAATATAATATTTATGATTGTTACAAACAAACATTTATAATAAGATATGTTTTTAGTGTAACACTTTAATACGTTTAACATGGACGTTAGAAAAAAGTTCAATGGCCCAATTTTCCTGCCCATAAGCTGAGTGTTTTACCAGACAATGAAGATAAATAGAGAATAATGCATACCCTTTTCCGTATCACATCCTGTATCAGCCTGAGACACCAATATCAGCCATAGGCCGAAGTAATAATACTTAGTAATAAAATACAACACACATTCAGATGAGAAGAAATTAAGTAAATAATCATGCATGGACTTCTAACATAGATGTCTCATACGATTTGGGTTTGTCTTACTTCTATTTCAATGCACTGGATCGGTAATCTGAAAATAATTTATTATTTTTAAATTAGATTATCCTTATTTTCAAAAAGTTAAAATTAAGAGAACATATGAACCCACCAAAACATTGTGTATTATCACAAGTACTGTTTTGTGGTTTGATTTATTAAGGGTGTGATACATGTAATGATCGGTATCAGCCCTGTAGGGCTGATACCTTTATCAGCCCTGCAGGGCTGATACGGCTATTGTGACGTCAGGCATATCGCATATATGCAAAAATCATGTATTTATTACAAAGTATGTACAGGGATGGGGTCAATTACATAGAAAAGTAATTAATTAAATTACAATTACTTTCCCAAAACCTTCAATTAAATTACCATTACCATTACATGGATTTTGATATGTAATTAATTAAATTACAATTACTTTACAAATGTAATTAATTAAATTACAGATTACATTCAAAAATACACGTATAAAGCTAAATAGTGGTGTAAATTCCTTTACACTCGTAACATATTATTTTACAACATTTTTAAAATAATAATATCAAAATTTTCATACTTTTCAAATACTGTGTCCCCTAACTTATCTCTGTTAGATTTGAAGATTTTCCTGCCATGCTGAAGAATCTTTCCACTGGTTTTTTGTGAGAAAAATGCAAACATATACCGTAGATACTGACTAGTAGAATGTTTACTCACGGTTTTACCAGAATTCGTGTGTTATAATTTTGGAATCATTTTAACCTTTCCCATGAATTTATGTTAAATGTACAGTTGATTCTTTTTGCCTAAATATTTGAAATTCCTAATTTCAGCATCATAAGTTTATCTCAAAATGTGGATATTTGACTTATTCTGTGCCAAACTACAATTTAAAGTCAAAAAGTGTGTATATTAACACTAACAGACGAAGTTAAATGTGTGAAAAATGTTTATTTAGGAATAAGTACATGACCCCAGGGCACTAATTAGCACCTGTTTAAAATAACTTCTAACACAAGCTGAAGATATGGCAAACAAAATAAATAGAAGCCATTGGACTTTAAATTTTCATACGGATTAATTAATTAAAAAATCAAAATACTAATTTTATTTGTTAACTTTACAAAGATTTATTTGATTATAGAGTTTAAAAAAAAAAAGAAAATTGACGTCATCAATTTACTTTAAAAAGGGAAGCTCTTTTCAAGAAATTTTACTATTAAAATTATTTGGTCCAAAAGATCAGTTAACCTTTCATAAATACTGTTGATAAAATTGAGGGGGAAGGGGCTATTTTTCATTTATTTAAAATCAGTGTAATTGAATGTAATTGAAAAGTAATTGAAAAGTAATTGTGAATTACATGCCTTTTTGGAAAGTAATTAATTAAATTACCATTACTTTTAATTGAAAATTTGGTCAATTGCTTTATGGAATTTAATCTCGCGACCAACCCGTATTTATATCCCGATAGATGTTTAAAAATGATACCTTATTTCGTAAGGAAAAACGTTGACATAAGTTCATACCAAAAGCAATTACAACAGTTACTAGAAAATCTGTCATTGCAAGCAATATAGCGTATATCAACCCAAAATAAACCATGCATAAGCCATAAGATTTTTCAATGATTAAAGAAGTGAGTATTCGGAGACCCCCCCCCATTCCTTACCTCCGTTCACACGTAGAGAAAGGTTCACGGCCTAACATACCCGCAGTAAAAAAATACTAGTAATACCTGATTTTTTTTCCTTTTCAAATAGAGCATTTCAAGCTTTTTCATCGTTCACTAAATTATTCACATTTATTTTATCTTTTGCTCATCTACGCTCAATGTGAGCTTACCCGTATATGATTCTCTGATTTACATTTTGTTCTTTTTGGCACAGCTGGAGGAACATCTTCGTCTTGAGATCGTGAATAACAGCAACCCATAGTTGGTCATTAGAGTTGAAAAGCTGCTGGATGATAGAAACCAGAAGTCTCTGTCGAGACTGTAGCTATACTGGTTTGTACTTATAATAAAGGAAGAGAAAAGTAGCAATCGGGAAACGAAACTTTACAAAAGCAATCAGTAAAATAACGATACTTGACTAAGTGTCTTTTTGTGACAAGACTGCAATAAGACTACAACCGTAGGAGTAGCTTTTGATAAAATTTTACAGAAGGTTCAATCTTAGTTACCATAGCGACACCGTTCATCAAAATCAAAAACAGATAATCATGTATCTCAGTGTAGTCTACTTGCAGGCAAAGTTACATTGAAATCAGACCAAAACTGTAGAAGGAGTAGCATTTTAAAAGTATTTCACAGACAATTTCTAATTTTAGTAACCAGGGCAACACCGTTCATCAAAATCAAAAACCGATACACAGAAGTATGTGTCTTTGTAGTCTAATTGTTACCAAGTTATATTGAAATCAAAACAAACACATTGGAATGACCGTTCACGGTAGCTCAGTCGGTAGAGCGCTCGCTCCTTGAACGGGAGGTCTTGAGTTCCTAACTCGGCCGCGACTGACCCAGTCGATAAAAAATGGGAAGCAACTGTTCCTTCGCTATAAGCTCGGCACTTTGAAGTGAAAGTTGCGGGTCCTTCGGATGAGACCTTAAAAACCGAGGTCCCGTGTCTGCGGAAGGCGTTAGCACAAAAAAGATCCCTCACTGCTCAATGACCCTGAGTGCCTAGTTAAGGTCAAAATTTGAAGCCCTTCACCGGCATACGGTGACGTCTCCATATGAGTGAAAAATTCCCGAGAGGGGCGTTAAACAATATGCAATCAATCAAATTGGAAGAGTAGCATTTTAAAAATATTTCACAGAAATTTTTATTTTTAGTAAGCACGGCAACACTGTTCATTGAAAGCAACAACCGATACACAAAATTATGT